GAGCCGTGAGTCGGTCAGTATGGTCAGAGGTGCTCTGAGGGAGATGTGGTGGCAGAGGGAAGGGGTGCTGTCACGGCACCCTGCTTTCAGCTGGGGTGTATCTGCTTCCTCCCCGCGTGTGCACCACGCAATAGCAACCGTTAATGAAAAAGCCGAGAGCAGCGGGAGAGCCTGAGCACAGGAGGTGTGGAGGAAGTGGTCTGTGCTGAGCAGCAGTCTTGTTTCCCCTGTTACTCAGTGGGTGCCCTGAGCTGACTGAATGCTCTTTACTAAACATGGTATCACTGCACGCATGAGACCTCTGCCGAGCACTGACTGAAGCCAGACAGAAAAGAAACCAGAGTGAGAGTGGCTGCCAAGGGAAGTGCTAAACATGGATCCTGTTTCCAATCTTGGAGAGCAGCTCAGTCCATATTTAAACACCTAATTAGCCACTGCAGGCTCCGGTTTGAAATTTGGCTTCTCATTGCCTTTCACAAATACATTTCCCCAGCATGCTACGGAGACTGCTGCTGGAGACAGCACCATGGAGATGAGTGGTAAAATCAGCTTCTGGTGGGGGGAGGGAAAAAATCAGCAAAACACAAGGCAAACACTCACTCACTCCGGAATTGACTACTTAGTTATTTTGTTTTGGCAAAAATACAAATCAATGCCTTTCTCTTCTCCTCCCTAATTTTTGTAATGACAATTCAAAATTGTCAGTCTACATTGCAAAAATCCTTAAGCTAAAAGTAAGAATTTTTCCTAAAAATTAATTTAACACAAAATGTATAACCTGTCTTATCGAGATCCTTTATTCATCAGTATAGAATCAATAAAACATTATTTTAAGAGGAAGAAGGTCTTGTATATTGCTGCTCTCTTGGCCAGATTTCAAAGCAGCTAATTAAATTCTGCCTGCCTTAGTTTCCATTTAGTGAGTTGTGCATTGCCCTGTTTTATCTGCACCGACTCGACAAAATGCTCAAGGAGGGCATCCCCCAGGGAGACTGTTTTCCATTGTAGGAAGAGCGGTCCATAGGAACCCCCACTCAAATGAGTTGGTGGGCATGAACTTCTCAAGCAATCAACACCAGGCATGCTTCTCTTCCCCACTGGACTTCTTTCCACCAAGTCCATGGTCAGTGCTTTCCCTTGCTCTGCTTTTCCTAGCTGCTGACCCTGCACAACGTTGCCATACCCCCAGCGCTGTCTGGCACAGCTGGAGCCCATTGGCAGCATTTGGCAGGATGGATCCCTGGGCAGTCGGACACCCGTGCCTCCTAGCTCTCTAGATGACTGACCAGCGTGCGTGACCATTGAGAGTGACCGGTCTTTTGACTGGCTGGCCACCCAGTTTAGGAGGCAGGGTTTCTCTGCCTGAGTTTGCCTGCCTTGCTGCAATACCCTGCATCCTCAGAGGTCCGAGTGTCATAGGCACCCCACATGCACCAGCACGGTTTGCTGGTAAGGTGCATGGGCTGGTAAGCCCCTTATGCTTTGGGCTGTGCTTCAGGTGGCCTCTGTATGTGCTTTCGGTTTAGAAGGCTTTTAGAGCCTTCAGAAAATGAAAGCAATGTGGAAGTGCATAATGTCAATATTGTTATTTTCTTTAGTATGCAATTATAGCTTGATTCAGTGTAGAAAAAGTACATGCAGAGCATAGAGTGCTAAGAGAGGCTAGATTTATACGCATAGGCTTTAAAGCCAGGTAATTCCATGTATAGGAGGAATACACTTTATGCTTTTGAACTGAAAGAGGGTTGACTTAGGTTGGACATAAAGAAGAAATTTTTTATTATGAAGGTGGTGAGACACTGGAACAGGTTGCCCAGAGAAATTGTGGAAGCCCCATCACTGGAAGTGTTCAAAGTGAGGTTGGACATGGCTTTGAGGGACCTCATCTCATGAAAGATTTCTTTGCCTATGTCAGGGGAAATTGGACTAGATGATCTTTAAAGGTCCCTTCCAGCCCAAACCATTCTGTGATTCTACATGTGTGTGCATGGCAGATGCAATCATGGTAGAGGTGCAGGAGCCTATGCACTCCTATTTTTCTGATGCAGAAAGTGAAGACTGGCTGTAATGAAATCAAGTAACCAGTGTTGTTTCTTTTTCCCACCGTGGCATTTAAACGACATGAATCTAATAAGACAGGGTCTCACAAACAAAGCAGTTGTTCAATGAAAATCCTTGTCAGTTCTGTGTCACAGGTTATTCCTCTGTCTTACGTAGTCCATTGATGTCAGATTCCTGGAAAGCAAAAGGCACACACAGAGAAAATGGGAAGAGAGCAGGTAATCATTGCAGGGGTTCTGCCAAAAGTGTCTGCTCTGTGTATCCAATTTTATAGCTTTCATATCTATAGTATGTTATTGAAGTCTGGTTCCCTGCTGCCTTGCAAATCATTTGCATCTCTGCACTGTGATATAAAAGGCTTCCTAGCTGATTGGATAGCTTTTTATAACTTCTCAGCACTAGTGTTTCTCTGAAATAGATATCTATGCAAAGAGCAAGGCTTTTGAGGATCCGGCCCCGGTAGTTTATGCTTCATTGCCACGAGGTAAGTCAAAACAGCACTCGCACAAAATGTGGGAATGTGGAGCGTTTGCCGTCCTCCTGCCTGGCATATGAAGGTTACTGAAGGCCAGACTAGAGCCAGGCAGAACGAGTCAGAGGAGTCCCCAGCACTGCTTCCCTGCGAGCTGCTTGCCAGGCAAGATCACTCTAATTCAAGTTGGGAAGCTTGTCCCGTGCCCCAGCTTGTGTTCTCCACTGGTGGGGGAATGGTGGCACCGATGGAGAAGTGCCAGCTGGCTGCCGGAGGCGGCTTCAGATGAGTGCTTCTTCCCATGGATGGTGTGAGCTCGGTCCCTCACGGCTGTGCAAGGGAAGCTCGTAACGGCTGAGGATCTGGTCCTTCAAGTTAAAAGGGTTGAAATATGCATGAAGCATAAGGTGACATTTTGAGTGTCTCAGATCAGAGTGCGGACGTTACTGAATTTAAAATGTAACTGCAATTTCCTGACTAGTGCCAAGTCACTTTTATATTCATACAGTGATTGTTCTTTCTTCTTAAAATAGCCCAGTTTACCCGGAGGCACAGGTGATATCTTTATGATGATGGACCTACGTTATCCAGCACATTACAGCTCAGGCCGTTGGTTGGTGCAAGGGCTGTTTATGATCATCTGTCCTTTTTTATTCTCTCTCAATTTATATATAATGCTTTTGTAGCCTGTTTGTTTGTGATTTGCTTGAACAAGAATAGAACAGGGGAAAAAAAGAAAGAAAAACATAAAAGAGATGCACTGCAGAGGCGGTGCTGTTGTCTTTTACTTCCTGTACCTGAGCTGTACAATTTACCATTGTGTCTCCAAGTTTTTGAGTCCATTCAGGTAACACGAACAGTTAGATTGCTTCAGTAGCCTTATACCTCCGCACAAAGTCAGTCTGTTTGTTACCATCCAGGGCTTTCTGCGGTGAAGTGCACAGGATATTATAAATAAGGTATTCAACAAGAATGAGATAACAAAAAGAGCTCTGAGACATATTTGCTATTCATTCAAAATAAAAACCTTGCACCTAGTAGCAACCACAGAAGACCGAAGGCAGGCTTTTCAGCAGAGCAGGAGCATCCCTAGCCCAGGCATTTGCTGCACTAAGGGTGAAGGTGTAGGGGATGGAGCTGTAGCTGCAGCTGGCACAGAGGCAGGATGACAACTGGCGGGAAGGAGGAGCTGCAAAAGAGATATCTGCTCTTGGGTGGGTGCTCCTCTATCTCCCTCCACCAGCAGTAGCTGCTGCCCGGGGGACCCTGACCCCTGGTTCCACATCAGCAGCAGCAGCAAGAACTGCCGCTTCCTCGACCTCTGGCAGAGGCAATAGGGACTGGGACCAGAGCTGTTCCGCTGCCCCCAGCAACCAGTTGCTTTAGGCTCCTGCCTGCTTTGCCTATGAGCTGTCTGTAATGCCAGGAATTACCTCTGGTTCTGCTAAGCATGAAAAGGCTAGATGACAGGCTGTAGTAATTACAAGAGTGAATTGTCACGGTGTAGGAATTTGTGGAAGTGATGCTGACGTCCCAGTCGGGAGGAGTAGTTTAAGTGACATACCTGCTAATTTGCCTGAAACTATCTGCTTATTTAAAAAAAACCAAAAAAAAACCCCAAAAAACCAAAACAAAAAGAAAAAAAAAAACAACAAAAAGCCACTGCTGCCTGCATGCAGTGAAACCCAGCTAATCAGCAGGTCCTAGAAAGTTTGACTTCAAAGAAAGGCAGATTCGGCATCCAGATGAGAGAGGCACACCGGAGGCTCAACCGGCAATATTTTACTGTAACTCCCAGTATCTGTGTGCCTTTGTCTCACCTCCTGTTTGGCAAAGACCCAGCCAGGCGTCTTTGCTCTACAAGCTGTAGATAGCATAACTGTGGTTACACTTGCAGCCGCTGTTCTTGCCCCATCTTTTTATCCATCTCTGTAGCTGTGCATAATCTGATGTGTCACTGGGGCAGGTGCCGTGATTGCCTTACTCATCTGTACTGTGCCCAGCACAGGAGCCTTCGTCAGAAACCAGTAGGTCCTGCTGCAATATAAATAATAATAGTAACCAGAAGTGGTATGATCGGGCACAGCTTTACTGGGTGGCAGCAAGGTATGGATGTGTGGGAAGAGGGCAGTGAGGAAGGGGAGTGTAGTCTGAGGGCCTCTAGGTGATGATACCCTGGAGATTGGTGCCTCAGCATTTCTAGTTTAAATAGTTTAACATAGACATTCTGGCAGGTACTGTGTAATTTTTTTTTTTTTCCCTGCCATAAATCAGCCTTGGTGTCTGACAGAATAACCACCAGAACTCCAGCAAACAACACGCCTGCCAGCGATAAGCTGCTTCTTCTGTCGACTCAATGTAGAGCTGTTTGCTGGAAATTGCGAAATGCAGTACATCTGATGTTTGTGCAATGCTGTTTTCCTTCTGCTTATTTTTGTGTGCATCTCCCTCTCTCTCCTGTATACAGATGTTCGTATTCACCCCATGGAGCCTATGCCCAAAGCAAACTTGCCCTTGTGTTATTTACCTATCGACTACAGCATCTTCTGACTGCAAATGGAAGCCATGTGACTGCTAATGTAGTGGACCCCGGAGTAGTGAATACTGAGCTCTACAAACATGTCTTTTGGGTTATAAAAGTGGCCAAATGGATGACAGGCTGGCTATTTTTCAAGGTAAGCAATTTTTTAAAATCATTTTGTTGCTGTGCCCCTACACTGTACAAGCTGTAGTCAGCACAGAGCTGAAGGTGTTGTGGAGTTTATCATGATGTATGGTATTTACTGCATTTTTTTGGGCTGGTGAAATGTACAAAATCCATAAAGACAGGCCTTCCCCAGAACAAACACTTATTTTAAATGGTGGGAGCAAGCTCTCTCAGTAAGGGAAGGGAACGCCTTTCACTGTGCCCATGCACTGATTATCTCTGCCCTGATCTATCCGCCTGCCTTTGTGCGTGAATGGGGGCAGACCATCATCCTAACACAGACCCAGGATATGCAAAGTGTTCCTTGGAAATGTCTTGTACGTCTTCTTAACGAGAAGCAGACGTGGTCTGGCACAGCCTGCATGTACACAACACGTTATAGAGAAGAGGGAAAAGGAAACAAGGAAGCTGTACAAAAATGGTGGTGGGAAGTGGCCATACTCCAGGCTGTGCAGGGCCAGATACTCATGCCTTGGGAGGTGGGACAATTTTCATTTCGCTTTTTCATCCTAACACATCCTTGTAATGGTACCTGATTTGTTGCATCGAGTCCAGAGGAGGCCACGAAGATGCTCAGAGGGCTGGAGCACCTCTGCTATGGGGACAGGCTGAGAGAGTTGGGCTTGTTCAGCCTGGAGAAGAGAAGGCTCCAGGGAGACCTTATAGCACCTTCCAGTACCTGAAGGGGCTACAAGGGAGCTGGGGGGGACTTTTTACAAGGGCCTGTAGTGACAGGACAGGGGGTAACGGGTTTAAACTGAAAGTGGGGAGGTTTAGATTGGATATCAGGAAGAAATTCTTCACGGAGAGGGTGGTGAGGCACAGGAACAGGTTGCCCAGAGAAGCTGGGGATGCGCCATCCCTGGAAGTGTCCAAGGCCAGGCTGGACGGGGCTTTGAGCAACCTGGTCTAGTGGAAGGTGTCCCTGCCCATGGCAGGGGGGTGGGGAGGAGATGGTCTTTGAGGGCCTTTTCAGCCCCAACCATTCTATGGTTCTGTGATTTTCTATTATCTATTCCTGGACTGCATTAGGAAACTTAAAGCTGTTTGATAAAACTGACCCAGGGGTGGGGCAGACCCAGTTACGGTTAACTTCGGTAACATTTTGCATTGGTGTAAGTAGACCAATCTGAAATCAGTTTAGCCGCATAGGGGCAATCTCCTCATGCAGACAAGGCTTAGGAGGGCTTGTGCTGAGACAACGTACTGCTTGTAACTCTTTCAGAAAGTAGTTTTGGATTAAGTGAATAGAACTTGATTCCATTAGAGAAAATTAAATGTCCTAATTAAAATGAAGTATTTTAGATCAAGGGGCATGTCCCACAAAGCAAATTAATTTTAAACTTTGATATGGAAATATCACCAGCTTTAATTTTAGAAATTAATCTGGAGGCTGGAAGAGTGGCTGTAAAATAAGATGCAAACAAATAAACCCGTATTTAAAAAAATTAATAGTATCTTCTGAGTGCACCTTGAATATTGCAATAAAATTGTAATAGGAATGCTCATAATATGTAATGTGTTCTTAAAGAAGCAGAATGCAGCGTTGCCAGACCGTATATATTAAACTTGTTTTGCCTCTTGTGATTGCCATTTTAAATGTCAGTCTCAGGTGGTGGTGGTGTTTCATTGGACTTGCTTCACCTCGCTGACATAACAGTTTTATGTAGATGTTCAGGTTGTGCCCAGCGCTTCCTCTAGAGCACAAAATTCTGACAAAATTCCCATGTCTGAGGGTGAGAATTGGGTCTCCTGTTGTTTACAGCACTCAATCCCGTTCAGTTTTATTGGTGTGCCCAGGGAGACATTTTTGTATTATACTGACCGTGTTTGGACACTGAATGGGGTGTCACTGAACACGCGTAATTGAGTTTGGATTTATCACAGGAGGGAGTCTCGTACTTACAGCTCTAGCAGTAAAGCTGCCGATAGTTCCTGATCACTTCCTCTCCTTCGGATGAGACACCACTATAGAGGAATTCTGCCATGCAGCGCGTGACAGGCAGACATACTGACTTGCATGGAAGTGCAGTGTGTGTGCTGCCTGAAAAGCAAATGCATCAGTTGCTTTTTGAGTCAGAATAGCTGCAGATTTGGATAAATCAATGCTTCCGTTAATGACATTGAGATTTTCACATTTTTATGTCACATTTGGTGTGTTTTTCCTATAAAGCAAAGGAGAGGGAAACTCTTACTATCACTCTCCCTTAGACTTCTGAGTTACAGCTCCAACTTCTACTCTTTGCTTATCGCTTAAGTTATGTTTATGTATTTGGGATTGACTTTTTGCCATCCTTTCTCACATTCAGGAGAACTTCATCACACGGGTATGCCCTGTTCAGCTCTGGCAGAACTGCATCGCACGGCGATGTTTAGCTCCGCGGTGAGCTCATGTTGAAAGCCTGCCTGGCGATTTCAGCAGCACAGTACCGAGTGCTGTAGTATCCAGCATTCAATCCTGGGTGGGTCTTGTGTTGGTCTCGTGCTGTAGGATAAATTTCCCCTGAGAAAAGTAAGAAAGCAAGTACAAGAAAATTCAGTTGTCTGATAATATTAGCTGATAGTTGGTATTAAGGTTTTCTTCTCCCTTGGAATTCATTCCTGAGTGCACATATATGAATCTTCCTTCTAGGATTATGGTGGTAATGCAGTGAAAATGAGGTGATAGCTCTCTAATCATTTTGGCTCAACTAACTTCTATCACCCTGAAGTATTCTGGAGTGGTTTCTAAACGTGTGCAGGAAATTGCTTCACCCACTGCAACCTGGCACTTATGAGAGACAACACAGCCCAGATAGCTCCAGTGAGGAAATGCATCACTGATTTATCACACCATGTTCCTTCAGGAGAGAGTCAGCATATTGTTTGACTTAATTCCAAAATATTGTGGCAGAGCACCCACTACCTTTAAATGCATTTCCGCCAGCACGGGTCCCAGTTGAATTCAAGTCAAGTGACTTGCAATTCAAGTGAATTGCAGCTCCGAGGAGAAGGACTT